TTTAATAATATAAATTATATAACCACCCTTATTACAAAATAATCAGGCTTTTGTTTAAAAAAAAAATTGACTTTCAACTTGTCATATCATCTCCACTTAAGCAACATAAATTTAGAACTTGTTTGGTGTGACTTGTGAAAGTTTTTGCTTTTTAAGTATTGTTATGAGTGATAAGTTTAAATTTTTATTGGAGAAAAAATTTAAAAGTTACTTTTAGAGATAAAAAAAAGTGAGTGAAAAATGAGTAAAACAGAAATTTATGAAAAGTTTGAATTTGAAAATTTTAAGCTTTTATTGTTTGAGGTTTTTTTAAGATTAAAAAAAATTTTAAATGTAAGTTTTTAAGAGTAAAATTTAAATTTATGAAATATAAATAATGTCAAAAATTAAAACTCCTAGGAGCTCTACCGAACATGCCCTTAGAGTGGGTATCAAAAATGCCCTATAAGCAAACATGGACGGAAAGATAACGTCCCAGTCAAATAAGGGCAATTTTGCCACTGTCGTCTAGTTCAAGGGTTTGTTTGCCACTCATTTGGGTTAAGGGGTTTATTTACCACTGCTTGATAAGTTTAGGGGCTAATTTGCATAATTTGCCAAAAAAAATGTGCATAAGGCTATAGACTATATATATAAAACCAAAAACTTGTTAATTCGAATTGGAAGAGTTCGATTTCCTTTAAATAAGATTTTGAGTTTGATTCTTGTGAATGGAGAATTGGAGATATAACCATTAAAAGAGCTTTTTTCCTCATACAGGGTCTGATGCGGCTTGACTCTAAATTAATTATGATCCAATGTGATTTTTAGATATTGAGAATTAATACTAAAGAATAACTTACATATATAATTTGAAATAGTATTTGACATTTTAAATATAAATCAATCATATTGTTACCATAAGAATAACAGACAATATTCTTATCATAAAATTTTGAAAAATAAGCTTTGTTATTCATTTCATGAGTGGTTGGCAGGGTAAAAGATGAATTACTGCTAATATTAGTTGCATAGTTTTTTAAATTCTCACCTTCAACCCAACCGATGTCAAACTCACTTGACTTGAAAATTCGAACCCATCTTCCCCCTTTTTTTCTCTATAAGTGTGGAAGCTGTCATAACCCATAGTCTCAAACATCTTTGGTAGGGTGTCAACAGCTAATGCTAGTGAGGCATGCATCTTGGCCTTATAAATGCAAACCACAACTATCCTAGTGAGGTACTTTGAGACCTATTTAACATGCTAACGCAAACAATATCACTAGTTGTGTTTAAGTTTTTTGTTATGAGATATTATTATTATCATTAGAGCCACTCATGTGTGATTCTTGGTTTAATGCAAGGACACGTCCCATAAAGGACCCTCTGTTGGAACAGGTCGAAGTAGATAAGATTACTAGTGGCCTTTCAACACTTCAACATAAGGTGTTACATAAGCCCAGAATGGGACAACTGAAAAAAAAAAAAAATGGAGTAATTTCTTTTTAAGTATTGACCCAAAAACTCAAACTCTAGGCTGGCTCGTACCATGACGCTTGAATTTTTTCTGCTGGATGGACAAGAAAAAGCATAACAAGAGCGAGAATGCAAGATATAATTGCTGAGAGTATTGTGGGTTATTTACTTCGTTAGAGAATGCAAGGTATCTTGGTGGAGGATCAATTTTCAACCGGATTTTTAGGTATTGTGGCTTATTTACTCGCTAAGAGTTTCTTGGGTGTGGGATTTGAAATTTTCGGGATTTTGAGATTGGTTATTATTGTATTGCCTAACAGGGAAGACTCTTTCCTATTGGAACGGGCTTTAATTTGGATTGAAAAAGAAATCTCAAAAATTAGGGATAGGTTTTTGATGATAGGGGCAGATATTTTAGAAATTATTCTGATCCTAAAAACGGATTTGTATCCTGACATTATTATTGGAGATGGGGTCTCCTTCAGCATTTGTTAGGTGGGAGTCTCCTTTAGCCGTGTAAAATTACACGGCTATTTTACACGGCTAAGGAATCAACCCTTTTGTATTTATTGACTAGCTTGTATTCGGTCTTCCTCTATGGGAATCTTCCATGTGACCCATCTCTGGTTTGGATGAAGAAAGAAATTGGGGAAAGCTTAAGCATGCACGCAAAGAATATGAATTTCCGGGTCATTTCGTTTGCCGATAGCAGTATTAGTTCTAACCCTCCATCTGATTCTATATAAAGACTGATTTAAAATGTTCAAATCTTAACCTCGATGCAGAAGAATGTTAAATGCGGAAGAATGTTAGATGTAGAAGAATGTTAGATGCGGAAGTGAAAGAATATCTTTCAATAGTTAAGAATTTAAAATGTTTAAATCTTAATCAGGATGCAAAAGAATATTAAATATAAAAAAATATCGTTTAATGATTAAGGATTTAAAATATTTAAATCCTAACCAAAACGTAAAAAAATGTTAAATATAAAGAAATGTCGTTTAATGATTAAAAATTTAAAATGTTCAAATCTTGACTTAGATGAGGGGATATGAGAAAAGAGACTTCGCCTCGGAGTTTTCATTTGAAAAAAGGAAAAAAATCTACCATCTAAGGCTTAAAAGCCAAAAGTTAGTTAAAAGGAGAGAAAAATGCCTCCTACGTTTTCCCCTGTCCAAAGGTTAGCGCCAGACAATTTGCCACTTAGGTTTGGCTCGGTAACGCTAATATGTATATGTAATTATATGTTTTTTTTAAAAAAAAAAATTTAACACTTTAAAAATATATAAAATATATTATATATATTTAAATTTTATTTTAATTAATATTTTATATATTTTTAAAATAATAAATTGACATAAAAATCAAACAATAAAATATTAAGAAGTGTTGTAAATATTTTGATATTTGATAACTCATATTTTACTCTCTTTTTTTTTTAACATTTTGAACTAAAAAAATATTTTTTAAAACAAATACAAATTTAAAGAGGGAGTATTTGAACCAATACCTATTAAAGGTGTTCCTTATTAAAAATTTATAATTAATTAACCTTTTAGGGTAAGTATAGAAAAATTATTCTATTACACTCTTGCTATAAAAGTACATATTGATCATCTGATTTAATTGTTGTAGTCTAAATTAATTGTCACATTTTTTATTTAAAAAATTATTAAATGTTATATTATTCTAATTTTGCCCTTATGATTAAATAGGGATGAGGTAAAAGTTTTTATTTAATAGAAATTTAATGTAAAAATAAAAAGGATGTGCCCACTGCATCTTTAGTTGGAAGGAATGAGAGGATGTGGCAAAGGACTTTAGCCGGCAAGCAATTGATGTTTTCCAGTTTCCACGCTGCTTACCACCCGTTTGGCCGCCATTAAGATATATAGGCCTCTGTTAGGGTGGCCGGAAAGGGAATGAAGTAGTCGGAGCTAAGGATCGGGAGCTTCTGCTTCAGTTTTGGGATGAGCAAGGAAAAGGAGAACGGAGAAGAATCTCTCATTCTCGTCAGTCGGTCAGTGTCAGTTCCCAACCGATTGCCGATGGGAATCCAAAAATCATTTTCGGTCCGATTCTGGCCGGTGGATCACCCGAGCCCACTCATGGTCTTTACTCAGTCGTGATCCACTATGCTCTATGGAGGCCCGTAGGAGATGGCAGAGTGGCAGGCAATCGACTCAGTTGGGCTTAATGATCTTGTAATTCTTTATGGCTTGTCTCTTTGAGCCATTGGATTTCGTATGTTATTTGGCTCTTTTTTTGCCAATGTTTACCTTTTTTTTTTCCTTTTGCCAATGTTCACCTTTTTTTTTTCCTTTTCGGCCAACCAATGTTTAATTGTGGTTGAACCCAGGAAGGAAAGTTTTAAGAAGGAACGTTGGAACTTTTAGTAGACCCATTTAGGGTCAATGGCTTTATAAATACCGTACAGGTAAGCCAGGAAGAAAAGTTCTACGAAAGACGTTGGAGCGTTTGGTAGACCCATTTAGGGGTCAATGGCTTTATTTGGCTCTTTTTCTTTTTTGAGCCATTGGATTCCGTATGTTACTTTTGCCTTTTTTTGTTTTTTTTTGGCCAACCAGTGTTTACTTTACTTTTTTTTTTTTAAGGCCGACCAATGTTTACTAGTGGTTGAAGCCTGGAAGGAAAGTTCTACGAAGGAAACGTTGGAACGTTCGGTAGACCCATTTAAGGTTCAATGGCTTTATAAATACCCCGGCCATTAGGATTTAGGCTTTCATGTCCACCGTTTGCTGTGAAAAGGCAACTTTGTCGATTGCGATCTCTTCAGCGTTTGCCGCGGTCAGACAACTTCAGCGATTTCTCTTTCAATCACTCAGGTCTGTTCATCAAGTTGTCTTCTTGAATTTTGCAAGTTTTAGATCTTCGCCAACTCTTTCTTTGACCCACTTCCCTTCCTCTGATATACTTTTAAAAAGTTTGAAAATTAGACTGCACCTCTTGAATTACCTTTCCAATTCAAGACCAGGAGATAGATTTTTTATTTTTATTTTTATTTTTATTTTTAACCAAGAGATAGTTTGGAAGCAAAGGAAATATGCCTGCCTTTGTTTCCCTTGTCCTGTTGTCCAAACGTAGATTATATAACAAATGGTTTGTTTAAAGCTATATGTTAAAATTTATTA